TCCCCTACGCCCTCTACTATTTATTTGCCTCCTTCCAGAGCGTCCTGCCGTGGTCAGACTGCTTCTCCTGGGCGGACGCCAGCTGCAGCAAGACCCCTCTAGGTACGGTACGTCTCCGGGCCGGCGCGCTCCGGGGAGCTCCGTGGCTTCTGTGGCCCAGACAGACCCACGGCACAGTGCAGTAGTGGGCTAGGGCACCGGCCAGGGTGCTGCCTGGACACCTGACCTTGACAATCAGAGGCCCCTCGGCCTGATCTTTCTACCTGCCTCTAGCCCTGGCCATGTGATCAGGGCTAAAGGGGGCTCCTTAGCCTGAGACCCAAGGACGTAGCCCCTAAAGCCCCCACGTGCTGCGCTCCTGGCTGGCTCTGCCTGGGGGGGAGTAGGGGGTAGGGCTCCGTGGCGTGTGTAACTCTGCTGGCGAGCCAGGACCGTGCCGGGTGGCCCGGGGGTGCGCTGCGCCCCGGGAGAGTGACTCTGAGGGCTGCCTGCTTGGGCCGGCATGAATTCCAGGGCGTTTTATCAGCCGGCTTCTCGAGTGAGCTTCAGTTTGAGACCAGCCTAGGCCTTGCCCTGGACGTTAGCTCAGGGCAGAGTGAGGGGTGGAGAGCATGGGAGGAAACTTGCTCCCGGAATGGCACTTCTCTGGGGTTTCCTCCAGCCTCAGTTCCCCTTTTGAGGCCAACGCTCAGGTGGTTCTTCCCAGTGCGCTGCTCTCAAGGCTGGCCGGGGGATGGGGACAGCTCCTGGGCCTTCCACACGGGCTGTCCGTTCCCACCTCAGCTCTGTCCCGGTGATGGTGGCTGCCATTTTATTGCTGCATCGTTTGAGCTCCTGGGCTCTCAGTGGGTGGGCGTCTGCTGCACAGGACCTGAAACATTGGCATAACCCGGGGCTGCCTTCCCAGACACAGAAGTAGTCCCAGTCTGAGGTGAATCGATGGCACAGAATGGGTGGGAGCATCCAAAGATTGCCAGTGCAGTCTGTTTTATGTATGTACTAAAAGGCCCTCCAGCTGCCTCCATGTGGTGGGGCCCTGAACCTGGAACACGGATGAGCCTGACCCTGGGAGGACGGGGCGGAGCTTGTACTGCATCTTCCCCTGCCCCCCTCCAGTTTGGGGTCAGGCCCCCGCATGCACTAACCCGCTGGCAGAGATGGAGGAGGGTTGGGCTGGGGGCAGAGAGGTGGGGAGGAGGCTCCAGCCAGTGCCGGCAGGCAGAGGAGGAGCAGAGGAGCTCAGGGATGACAGGGGGAGCAGAGGGCCCCCCTAGCGTGGTGCCCCCCTACCTTGGCACCGGGGGACAACTGCCCCCCACTCCCTCGCTACACCACCGACTGGCCGTATGCATGCATTATTGAAAAGTTTATTTTGAAAATGTAATTTCCCATCCTGCACTTCAGTTGAATATTTTATCGTAGACTTCCAGTCTGACGCGTTTTTTTCAGTTTTACATTTATGCATTTCAAGGAGCTACTCCTGGAAAGGACTGATCCCAAAATGGTTGCTGCCTATGAAATGTGGTGGATTAAAGTCAGACTAATTGCCCCCAAATACTGCCTAGAATTTCCCCAGGGTTTCATGTCAAAGAAATCCTCGTGCTGATAGCACGGAGTGCATTGACCAACTCTTGGTTGGCTGAAATGGTAGCCAAGAGATTTGGGGTCCATTTTAAAGAGAACTAGAAATAATGCCCGGCTGTCCCTGTCAGTGTGAAATGGGACAGGTATGAGCTGAAATCCTGCATCTGGTCCTTCGACTCTCAAAACATTTGAAACCCTACCTGCACCTAGCTCTGATTTTTGCAGAAATTTCTGAGCTTTACGTTAGGCCAACCAGGTTCCCAGAGCTGAACCCCCCGTCCCCCGGTGGTGTTTGGAAGTGGAGCCCAATTCTCATGTGAATGTGGTGGGCGGGGTCTCTTTGGAGTTATTCCAGTTGCGGCAAGGATACAAATGGATGCCCTAACGCAGCGGTTCCCAACCGTTTCCAGGTGGGGACCCATTTTGACAATTCAGGAAGACCTGGTGACCTAAGGCAACTCAAAAACAGCAGGAGGAGGGAGGCAGAGCTACCTAGGGAGACACTTGGCGACCCTTTTGAAATGTAATGGCGACCCGTATTTGGGTCCTGACCCATAGGTTGGGAAACGCTGCCCTAACAGCCCGCAAGAGGCACTTACTATAATCCAAGCCAGGTTTAAAACTAATAAACGAAAGTTCTTCTTCACACAGTGCACAGTCACCCTGTGGAACTCCTTGCCAGAGGAGGCTGTGAGGGCTAGGACTATAACAGAGTTTAAAGAGAAGCTAGATAATTTCATGGAGGTTAGGTCCATAAAAGGCTATTAGCCAGGGGATAGAAATGGTGTCCCTGGAGATGGATGGCACGAGACAAAGCTGTTGATCATTGTCTTCGGTCCACCCTCTCTGGGGCACCTGGTGTTGGCCACTGTCGGCAAACAGGCTACTGGGCTAGATGGACCTTTGGTCTGATCCAGTATCACCGTTCTTGTGTTCTTATGTTAATCCCCCCTCGGACACCAACAATCCTTTCTCTTTCAGTGAGTGATTGCAATACAACCCTACTGAACGGGACCGTCATTCACACAAACTACTCCTTTGTCACCAGCAACAATCTGACCTGTCTCAACGGCAGCATGACGTATAAACAGGTGCAGCCCCCCAGTGAGCAGTACTGGAAGTAAGTAACCCCTCTTCTAAGATCGGCGTGTGCTGGATGGGGGGCTGGAGGAATCAGAGCCAGATTAAGACACGCTGAGGACCTAAGTTTAAAAGGCCCCAGAGCATTACAAAAATGTGCGTTATTCTAACAGAAAGGACAATGCAATCCTATAATAGAAATAATAGAATAACGTTTTAAATTTGCATCGATACCAGCATGTAGATGAGGATGCAACTAAACACTAGCCACTTTTTTGTATTTAGAGGACCTTCTGAGACCCTAAATTTAGCTTGTGCATAAATCCGGCACTGGCAGGGACCCTCTGCGCAGCCCATCCTGCTTTCCCAGAGACAGTTTTGGGCCAAGCTCATGGGTCTGTAAACTAAATCGGAGAGGTCTGTCCAGGAAAACATTCAATACTAATCGGGGTGACAAATGTACTGCCCAGCCCAGAGAAGCGCAAGAATGAATGAATTACTAAGAAATAAATAATCCAACTAGGGAAGTTTCCCCCTTACGCCCCCGGCCAGAAGGTACAGGCTTTCTCCCTAACTGGGATGTTAAAAATATTCAGCCAGCCTCTTGCCGTTTCTACCCCTGTGATGGTAGGTCACCACCCAGGACAGGGATGTGTTTAGAATGGGCATGTGCAGGTGGGTGAGCCTCTGGGGTGTGATGATGGACAGAGCCATCGGTTCACACCTTGCAGGGGGGTGAGGCCGGAGGCCCCTGGTTCCTGACACGCCGGAAGAGGACAGGAAGTGAAGTCGTGCTCCCCATAGAGTGGCTTTTTTTTGGGGCCCTCCATCTGCTCCTGCCCCCAGCTGGCTCTGTCCCCAGCCGGGTCTATACACTATGGAGCATTGACTCGAGGCAGAGGGAGAAACCAGATGTCCCCCCGTCCCGCGAGCCTGCCCTGCTACTGGGGAAGTCAATGGAATGTGCCGTGTATACTCGATCATAAGCCCGTTCGTTCATAAGCTGACCCCCCCAAGTTAAAAAACGTGACTATGCAGTGACCTGTACGTCAGCCAACTCTCTATCAGCTGTTTGCAAACTTCCCATCCCAGCTCGTCAGCGTTTTGTTTACCTGGGGAGTCGGCAGGCACAGAGCCTCTGAGCTCCCGGTGTCTGCGATTCGCCGTTTCTGGCCAACGGGAGCAGTGCCCGTGTCACTTCCTGCAGCTCCCAGTGGCTGGCAACAGTGAACAGCAGCCAATGGGAGGAAAGGGAATCCGTGCCTGCAGACACTCCGGGTACATAAAACGTCCCGGTGCGCCAGCGTTTTGCCCTGCTGAGCTGGGAACTGAAGTTAGCCGACCTCCGCCCCAGTTTAAAAACAAATCTAAAAAGCGCAATGACCCGTTGACAAGCCGACCCCCGCTCTTTGCTGCGCCACTTTAAACCAGACAATATTCGCCCTATGACGGAGGATGTACGCTAAGGGCTTGAAATCAGCAGAGGCTTCAGCATTCTGACCTGGCTCCTAACAGGACACACTGCCGAGCCCGGCTAGGTGGCGGAGGGGAGGGCCAGGCAGGCTGCGTGCACCAAGGGATGGAGATGCATGTGACAGCACCCGTGAGACGTGCCCCGCCCCTCTCCCGCGCTGGCTTCGGATGCTCCGCGGGACTCCTCGCGCAGCCGCTGGCAGGCTGTGCCGTGAGCCGGGCGACGCTCATCATGCTCTCCTCTGCTTTCAGCAAAGTCGCCCTGCGGCGCTCCAGCGGGCTGGACGAGACGGGGGAAATTGTCTGGTACTTGGCCCTCTGCCTGCTCCTGTCCTGGCTGATCGTCGGAGCCGCCTTATTTAAAGGAATAAAGTCTTCAGGAAAGGTGAGCCGGGGGAGCCCACGCTAGCTCTCCGGGCCTCACCCTGCCCGGGGACGATCCCAGCTTCCCTGGACAGAGAGACACCCCTACACCGCACACTCCGGCCCGCTGGGCCAGCCTCTCTGTCCTCAGGTGACGTCTGGCGCGCC